TCGAAAAAACCTTTTTAAAAGGCTCAATATAATTTAATACTTATCTAGTAAGGTTTCATTTATACATACAAATACTCTAATTAATATTACAAGAGCTATAATACTCTCTAAAATCGATTATGGCTTACCGATTTATGGATTGTGTGCCAACACAAATATAAAGCAATGGGAGGCTCCATACCATGCTGCGATTCGCCGTAGCATAAATGCGTTTCCTACATCACCAGTAAAAAGCATCTTGGGTGAAAGTGGTCTACCATCAATAAAAGAGAGAATTTACGAAACGACGGTCCAACTACTTCCAAAACTGCTTAATTCGCCGAACACTGATCTTCATATAATGCTTAGAAAAGCCGCAAGACACAAAAAAAAAATTCCAGCTTAAGTCCACGCTTCAACGCTGCCTTGGGTATGGCACAGCCATAAACATACTTCTACCATCCAAGACGAGCAAAATGAACATTCAACCGGAATGGCTAATAAACGAAGTCACTATAGATACCTCATTGCATAATTTCAAAGAATTGAACGCCAATAATGCCACCTTCCAACAATATTTTCTTGAAATCGCTAATGAATACAAGCGTAAGAAATTTTCGGCTATTTATACTGATGGCTTCAAAGCAACAAATACAGCTTTCGGAGTTACAACATCCAATGGGACAATCATTACAGGCGGAATTCTTCCTTCTCATTCATCTGTTTTCACTGCCGAGGCTTTTGYCATCCACAAAGCTTTAGAATATACCACCCGACAAAAAGGCAAGTTTGTAATTTGCTCTGACAGCTTTTCTTGTTTAAATCCAATCCGTAATATACGCAATAACTCTACAATAATATCAAAAATTCGAGACATATGCATCAAAAACAAACGAAAAATAGCTTTGCTCTGGGTACCAGGCCACGTCGGAATTGCTGGGAACGAGCATGCAGAAAATGCCGCTAAGTACTTTGAGTCAGCACCGACTCTTCTCCATGAGTTACCTGACGATAATGATCTTAGAAAACTGTTACAAAAGCATGTACAGGAAAGAAGACGCGCGGACTGGAGAAATTTCGAACACCCGTATAAAAACTTCAACCCACTTCGAAATAAAATTTACTACCCTAGCAATATATTTCGACTGCAAGCAACCGTATTCACACGTTTAAGAATCGGCCATACACAAATCACACATCAGCACCTACTCACCGGAAATCCTAAGTCATCTTGCGCCATCTGCTCCAACACACTATCCGTGGACCACATCTTACGCACCTGTCCAGCTTTAGAGAGTATTAGGCATAAACACTTTATTTCTGCTCAATATCAAACACTGTTAAAAACACCATCTTTTGAAAATATTACATGTATTTATAATTTTCTAGTGGAATGTAACATACATAATATGATATAATATAGATTTGTTATAATATCGGAGTCGATGGCCAAAGCTGCTCGCACTCCTCCTTTTCATTAGGTAAATGTAATAACAATATTTTAGTTATATTCTCTGAAGTATAACGGTCCTGTTATATACAACAATAAGTGTGAATTACTTACCGTTACTTTTTTAAAGCCAATTTCTGTTTTTATGAGCGAGCAATAGAATAGTAGTGAACGATGAGCTGATTGCAAACAGATAATTTTTAATAAAAAAAATTTAATTTTATCAAACAAAAAGTAAGTTTCTAGATCTTTTACTAATTATTCAATACAAAAAGCAAAAAAAAAAAATATGACTTTGGACTTTCCTTTGGGCCGCGGGAAGCACTGCAGTGACGAAAAACGAGAATGTATTCAATCTGTCATAAACAACGGTAAATCCTTCAAGGCAGTGGAAAGAATTGTAGACGCTCCCCTAATAGAGAGTACGACCCCAGATTCAGCACAAAAACTACTATTCATACGCACTTTTTGTTGTTGTTGTTGTAATGGCAGAATTCTGCCGAGTTGACAGTCCTTGGCCGGATAAAAATCCGGGTCCGTTCCGGTTTTCGTAGACCCGACTGTCGCGGGAACGGTTTGTCGTGACCTTCAGCTGCTTTAGCGAGTTTTGTTTTATATCTTCGATCGAATGAAAAGCTGCAATTTCAGCTCGATTATCTAGAAAAAATTACACGGAGCCCGTCTTCAACGATTTCTCGATATTCTTTTTACAACAATTCCGCACACGAAATTTGGTTTGAAATACAAAATTTCAGAGAAATGATTTCTTCGATATTTGTATCCATTGTAAAAATTGCAAGGCTCTATTTACATTTTTCATTTGCACTACATTTTTAATTTAAATTATCATTTATCCGGGGAATTTAATTACAATTTCCGGGTGATTTTTTTGTCTTAATACTTGTAGTTGACGTCTTAATTAAGACTCGCAAATCGACACTAAAAGCATATATAGTATAATGTATAATGCTAAATTAAATTATGCTATAAATTTCAAATAGATTATAATAATTATGTGAAACTATTACTACTATAACTGTAACTATTTACTACACACTGGAATGATCACCGATAAAGCAATTGCTACAACCCCACTAAATATAATATATGGTATTTGCCTGTTTTTATAATATAAAAATATATAATTATGCAATAATATAATGGAGATTTATTCAGATGAATATTTTAATATTATTTTCAGATATATTGCGGCAATTGATGACATTCTACTATGGGGAAACTACTTTCTAAAATTTTTGGCAACAAGGAAATGCGGATTCTGATGCTTGGCCTAGATGCGGCGGGGAAAACAAGTATCCTTTAAAAAAAAATCTAAATGGTAGCCTCTGCTTGGGAGGATCAGAAAACTGACTGTTTCTTAGGGGTCACCCCATAGGAGGCGGTGTTAGATGAGTAGGCTTTATGAGGCATCCAAAAAAATAGGTTAGAGTCATGCGGGTACCCATTGGTTTGCCATAGTTCATTCTGAATAAGTAGGAGTTAAACCCAATACAGTATCCAGAACGAAGTTGCGCGAGGATCGTTTTATACTCGCGAAACAATTCGAACTTTTCTGGTATTGGCATTGGGTTAACTTCAAAGACGCCATTCTTTGAAAGGAAGTCAATAGATGTTTAAAAGCCGCACTTAGAATGGTGTTTAGTGCTTTTCTGATGTCAGTTGCATTCTTAGTCTGGTCTGCAAGATGTTAATTGTCGACGCTTCAATTTGATGATTGTAAGTATAATTTCTGCGAAAGTATTCCAGCAGAAACGCCCTCACTCTATAAGTATCCAGTCGACGTACTGGTGCTTTCTTGTTAACGACTTGCCTGCCTATGGTCTTATAATTGCCAAATTTCTTTTCCCGGTTAACAACTTGAGGATTTTATTGCGGCTCTGTATATGTAACAACTAAGGTTGCACACAACTGCAATTGGCATTAGCTGAAATGTTAAGATCAATCAATATCGATTAATCATCAGCATATGCATCACCCTGCGGAACCTCATGTATAATTCCTCTTATATGCTATAAATGGTGGAATATGTTTTTTAATTTCTTTTAATGATTCCATTTATTTATGACATGGTTTCCTAAGCGAAATAATTTATATAGCAATTCTTTATAAGCTGAAGTTGGGGCAATCCGTTACGACGATTCCAACAGTAGGATTTAACGTTGAGACTGTAACCTACAAAAATGTTAAATTCAATGTTTGGGATGTGGGTGGCCAGGATAAAATTCGACCTCTTTGGCGACATTACTATACAGGTATTTTTAKTTTTATTTTTATAGTTTTTATATGAAAAAATACTCTTTCGGTTTTAGGTACACAAGGGTTGATATTTGTTGTTGATTGCGCTGATCGGGATCGAATAGATGAAGCACGAACGGAACTTCATAGAATAATTAATGATAGAGAAATGAGAGACGCCATTATTCTGATATTTGCAAATAAGCAGGATCTAGCAGACGGTAAGAAACTGTTTTTCTCAACATTCACTTCACTATCAACTCATAGCTATCAAGCGACAAAGATAGTTTATTTGTGTTTTTTTTTCAATATTTTTAAATCCAAAAACAACTAAATATTTAATTTTAATATATAAGTATTTGAGTCATTTATCTTCGACAGGAGGTAGATATTGCAGATAATAATTCACACAATCCAGCTATTGTCATATTTATTAGATTTAAATTTGAATAAAACTTATAATATAAAGCAGTAGAATTACCGTTGATCAAAAAAACTACTAATCTTTATGAATACAAAATTAATACTACTTAAGAAGAAATCCGATAAAATATTGAGAGTTATGCTAAACCAATTTAATTTATGTTTCAACTATACCAAGATCTGTGGAAAGAGGCTTGAGAGAGGGTTGATCAATGGTATTCATTGCGTTTTTGGCTTTAAATTCGGTCACAATCGTGGCTCGATGCGAGGGTGCATTATCATCGTGTAAACCTCAATTGTTCATCCGAAATTCCGGTCGTTTTTGACGGATGCTCTCACGTAAATGTCTGTCCCTCCGGAACTTTTGAAGGTCGTCCAGTCGTCAACCGTCTTTGAAGGCTTTGTACCACTCGTAAGCATGTATTTTTGATAAAACTGTAACCGTTAGCTTTTTCCGACATTCACGTTAAAAATACAAAATTTCTGACAAATTCGTTAGATATTCTTATCCATTGTAAAATTCGAAACGCACTACTGAGGGTGTACTGACTTAAGCAGCTACTACAAACAAACTGGTTGATAGATCGCCACAATATTTAGCATAACAATTAAGGACAGTCCTACCATATTTAGCAAATACATTTTTTTGAGATATCATTTACCCGAGGAATTTAATTACAATTCCCGTCCCGAAAGACAGACGGAAGTACAGACAGTCCCAGATTTCAACTCATTAAATAAATAAATTATAATTTATATATATATGAATGATAAAGACGACAAAGCGAGTTGAAATCTGGGACTGTCTGTTCGTCCGTTCGTCTGTCTGTGCGAGCGATAACTGAAGCGCGAATATTCAGTTATCTCATAAAACTTGGTACAGGTATTACTTGGTACCATAAGTTTGGCCACTAAACCCCTGGYCAAGTTTGCGGATTTGTGTAAAATTTTGTTCAGTAAGATTTGCCATTTGCCATATTTGGCACAACGCTTGCAAAGTGTCCAAGATTATTACGCAAATTCACATTCTTTCGTGACTATTGTAAAAGCTCTTCGTGCAAAACATGGTATTCTAAGATGAGGCCAATTTCAATCTTAATGGTTTTGTTAATTGATAATATTGTCGCTATTGAACAATAGCGTAACACCGCCTGCAGTAAGATGAAATCACATAATTGCGGATCCACTCATTAACTAAATACAGTCACATTATCCTGACATTTTTCTGTTAAAGTACGAAAATGGACAAACCCAAACTACAACCACGCCTAATTTGCATATAACACAACTTTAAATTCCATTTGATTCTTTCTGATCTGCGGCTCTATTCCGTATCTCGATTCGGAAATGTGTCTATTCGAAATTCGGATATATTTCATAATAATGCGAAAGTTGTACCACACCGTATGGCTGACTTTTTATTGAAAATATCTGCCAATTTATAAGATAAATTTGAAATTCCAGGAGAATCTTTTCTTGAATACTGGGTATGTCAGTACGTCAAAAATGAGTTGAATCGGGTCAATATTTCTCTTAGTCCTCATATACGTAGTATTAAGATTTCTAAACATCCGATTAGCTTTATTATGTTTATAACTAACATAGTAAAATTAACTCAACGTATCATATTAGATATTCTGTAGTTTAATGCCGAAAATATGTGAAATTAAATTATATAACAAGGCAGTGTCAAAAGTAAGTGTGGCAAGTCGAGATGTTTATCTGCCCCCGATATGCTCTGTATAGTGACTTAAAACCGTTCAAGTTTTTCAAAATATGTAATATAATATTTTAATTAAATTAAATTGACCAGTTTTCTTAAAAATATTGTGGTTTGGCGCTGAATATGTAGGGAGTTGGTCTAGATTTTGGTCTAAACTTAATTTCCTTAACGGGTTGACTTTTTCGCATTACTCAATTAATTTTAGCCTCCTCGGTTTATTTTGTATTATATACACACCTGCTCAAAATAATAGTTACATGATAAAACTTAGTACTCTCAACAGTTTAAAAAACTTTTTATGGGCTGTATGCGACAAGCTATGCTGTAAGTTTAATTAAGATAATATGGCATCGCCCTTTCTAAGAGAATTAAGCATGTGATCTCCCGAATTAATGAGTGTGTTAGTTTTGCGTGAATTTTCTGAAAATAAAATTGCTCAATATAATAGTTACACATAAGTGAACTTAGCTTTTTGTGAAAACCAAATTAATTTTATCCAGTTTTTCAAGATTTTTTATCTGAATTGATAAGTTTTCTTTCATTAATGCTCAAAATGCTGCAGATAAATTAAATAATTTTTTAATCAGATGGGTCGGAAGTCACATTGCACTGTTGAAGGGGCCCGGCTGGTTTCAAACCTCAGAAAGTAAGGAAAATCGCTTCGGGAAATTGGGAAATTAATGGAAAGGTCTCATAATTTTGTTAGAAATGCTTTAGAGCGAAAATCTAGTAGGGAGACTCGTGGAAGGCCACAAAAAACGAGTACAGTTCTTGATCGCCACATTGTAACTATTTGTAAAAAAGACCCATTCAAGCCGTCGAAGGTGATAGCAGCAGAAATTGGAAATGTAGTAAGTGCCCAAACAGTTCACAGGCGTTTGCAAAAGGCCAAGCTACCTGACGTATAGCCAGGAAAGTTCCATTAATGCGATCAAAAAATTTAGATATGTGGTTAAATTATGCAAAAAGTCATTTAGATTGGACAGGACCTGAAGGAACAAAAAAGTGGAGAAACATTTTATGGGTCGATGAAACGAAAGTAAATTTGTTTGGAAACGATTGTGAGAGAAATTTGCGTCGTGAAAACTGTGAAGCATGGAGGTGGAAACGACATGGTGTGGGGATGTTTTTCTTGGTATGGAGTAGGTCCTATATACCGGACAACTAACAAATTGACAGCGTCGGAGTACAAGGAAATACTTTAAAATGTCATGATACCCTATGCTGAAAAAAATTTCCATTACCTTAAGTATATCAGCAAGATAATTACCAAAAAATACTTCCAAACTGGTTAAAAAATATTTTGAAGATAATAATGTTAACGTTTTGAAGTGACTAAGCCAATCCCCGGATTTAAAACCAATAGAAAACCTATGGGGAGAACTAAAAAAAAATTTGGCGAGTCAATCTTTCTCTAACAAAGACCAGTTATGGGAGTGCACACAAAAATCTTGGTATGAGATACTTAAAGAAACCTGTCAGACTTTAATCAGTCAATAATAAAGGTGGATATACTGGCTTTTAACTAAGTAATGTTAAATATACAACAAAACTTTTTTACCATAATTTGTTTTTCCAAAATAATTGTCTTATTAAAAGTGTACCTATTTTTTTGAGCAAGTTTATTTTAGCTATGAAATGTTTTTGGATCTACATTTGTTTTTAAATGAATTATTTAATATACAATTCTTTACTTATTCTTCCAATTCAATTTCATTCCCTTCAAAGTAATCCCCTCCCGATGCAATGCACTTATGCCAACGGATTTTCCAATCTTCGAAACACTGGTTGTAGTCACTTTCCGGGATGGCCTTCAGTTCCAACTTCGCTGCGGCTTAAATAACGTATAAAAACGGTGTCCCCGGAGCTATCTTTTGAGCTTTGTGAACAGCCAGAAGTCGCACGCCGCTAGGTCAGGTGAATACGGTGGTTGCGAAACGATATGGGTTCAATTTTTGGCGAAATGATCACGAATTACGAGGGCAGTATGGGATGGTGCATTATCGTGGTGTAAAAACCAAGAATTGTCTCCACAATTCCGGCCTCCTTAGGCGGATAGCGTTACGCAAACGACGCATAACTTTCAAATAATATTCCTTGTTGACTGTTTGACCGGCTGGAAGGAATTCATAATGCACAACACCACGATAATCGTAGAAAACAGTCAATATGACCTTGATTTTTTAGCGACTTTGATCCGATTTTTTTGGTCTCGGCTCTCTTTTGGCACGATAATCGCTCGATTAATCGGTTGTTTCGGGGTCGTAAGCATAGATCCAAGTCTCATCGCCAGTTATAATGCGTAATAACATTGGTAGTCGGAAAGCATCGTTTCACACACCAAAAAGATTTGACGCGCTTGAGGCCCAAAGCATCCTTCAAAATGGTATTGACTGAGCCTTTCGATATGCCAACTTCATCAGCAAGATTTCTAATTGTTAATCGACGGTTTTTCAACACCAAATCTTTGATTTGTTGAACGTGAGCTTCGTCGGTTAAGGTTGATGGTCGTCCTGGACGCTCTTCGTCTTCGACACGTTCACGGCCGGCTTGGAACTCACTATACCACTTGTAAACATTTTTTTTAGACATAACCTCATCACCAAAGGCTTTCTGCACCATCGTCAACGTATCCGCAGCTGAAAATTGATTCCGTAAACAAAATTTAATGCAAATTCTTTGCTCAACAAATTTCGACATCGCAAAAAGCGAAAAACTCACTTTTAGCAGTTCACAAAACGACACGTATCTCAAACACTAATGAATATTCTGACATGAAATTTGATATAAATGTGACGGTACTACCAACCTAAAAAAAAAAAAATAATTCTACAAATCCTTCGACGCGCGCGGTTTAAATTCAAATGTCATCTTATGTTTTGGGCACAGAGATGTATCTCTTTTGAAGATGAGCTTAATATAATTTTTGCTGACGCGAAGTAAAATAAAACAGTCTATGACATACACTTTGATTCACTTGAAGAAGTACATGTATTTTTTTTAAGATTCAAGTTTATATCTCTTTATTTTGACATCGCAAAAGCTCCCTTTTATCTTTTTTTAAAGACTGATATATATTGAACAAATGTTGTGAAAATGAAAAATAAACTTGTATAATTTTTTTGTATGTGGTATAAACAACTTGAAAAATTTGGTTTAAAATTTGCGTCACTTGAATAGGTATATATTGTATTGCGGCATTACGAAGGCCGATCCATTTAGGCAAAATTAATAAAATTTTTATTTGTAGTATTTAAGAAAATTGGAAATTGGAATGATTTCAGGTCTTCTTATTGAATATGGGACGAGCAGATTGAAGCTTTCTGGGATGCGGTATGTTACGGAACAATTTCAAACATCAAAAATTACTATTTCTAACAAATTACAAACAAATACTCGATAGTGCATTTCCGCAATTATCCAATATTTTTGAACCCATTCTCTGGACATAAAAACAGGACAATGCTCCGATCCACACTGCAAGGCTAGAAAAATCTTGGATTTCAGCTCAAAATTTTAGTTTGTTGAAGTGGCTACCATAATCCCGTGACTTTAATATAACTGAAAACGTTTGGGGAGGATGTACCGCATGGATTATAAGTAAGGCCGTCAATTCGATGATCGGGAGTCGCTTATATTTAGCTTATGGTAAATTACATGGAGTGAAATATTCTTGGACTAATTAAAAGGCATATCAATTTTTTGCTACCGCTATGCCAGAGCAGAACACAGCACTTGATTTTTTGGATCTACAAGGGTAATTTTTTTGAAGTACTGCGCGAAAAAAATCTGATAAATAACGGTGTTGGACCGGCCAGGGTTATTTTTTTTGAAGAGCGGCCGAAGGTCGCCCACGCACAAAGGAGTTCTACGCGAAAAAATCTGATACACCTCAATGTTCGACCGATCAGGGTTCTATTTTTAAGGAGCGGCCGAAGACACTATATTACATAAAATAAATGTGTACAAATGAATTAGTGAAGTGCTAGTGGATATGAAAGTGAAAAATATTAATAAGTGCAAAATTAATTTTATATATCGAAAATATGTAATTAAAATATTGCAAATTTTCAACTTTAAACGCGAATATCTCGAAAACTACAAGCTTCCTTCGGCTATAACCATATATAGTATATCCTTGATCAGGATAATCTCCTTTATCCTACCATATTCTTTTTATCCTTGAAATCCTGGTATACTAAATTCTTCCAAACTGGTGGAGGCTGCTATATATATTTCTGGCCTAGGCAACACTAAGTGTAGCCAGGTGCAATCTGAAATTTCCATTGGAAAGTTTGACATTTTTTAGCATAACATCACTCAGAACGTTTTGTAATTTAATCGTGAATTGTTTTATTTACTCGGAATTAAAAAATTCATCTCGGCCAAGAAATGGAATTAACTCGTGAACATTTTCGTGCATCATTTTTCACAACTTTCGACGTGGATTATCACGACAAGAGTGCATCGCTGAACTAAAATCTTTGTATGGATATGAAGCACCATCCTATAGCACTGTGAAAAACCGGTACAACGAATTCAATCGTTCAAAGACGAATTCCGTGAAGGTCGTGCAAAAACAGCCGTTGTGCCAGAAATCATCGATGCCGTACGTCAACTGATAATGCAAGACCGTCATGTAACATACCTTCAGATAGAGGCATGCCTATGCATTTCTCCCACCAGCATACATTCGATATTGCATGAACAATTGGCCGTAAAAAAGGCTTGTTCTCGTTGGATACCGCACAATTTGACAATCGCTCAAAAAAATGCTCGTGTGGATTGGTGTAAAGAAATGTTGAAAAAATACRATCGCGGTGCTTCAAAAGACGTTTATAAGATCGTCACAGATCGTGGCGACTGTTCCGCTTGAGCAATGTAGGACGGTCAATTCTGAGTGGTACACCACCATTTGTTTGCCTGAAGTCTTCGGAGAAATTCGAAAAACGAACAAGAGAAGGCGAATCATTGTGCACCATGACAATGCGAGCTCTCACACATCATCAAATCAGCGCCTTTTTGACCGGCCAAAACGTCGAATTGATGAGTCATCCGCCGTACAGCCCTGACTTGGCACCCAATGACTTCTTTTTATTCCCACACATCAAGAAAATAATGCCTGGTCAACGATTTTCGTCGCCAGAAGATGCTGTKGAAGCATTCAAAAACCATGTTTTGGAGGTGTCTCAATCGGAGTGGAAAAAGTGCTTCGAAAATTGGTTTGAGCTCACGCAAAAGTGTATAAATCTTGATTGAGAATATTTTGAAAAACAATAAAACTATTTTCGTTGATAAATATTCCAATTTTCATTACTAGGCCAGAAATATATATAGCAGCCCTCGTATGCAGCAAGAAAATAAAGCAATTTTAAACTCGCTAGTTGTATGTATTGCTATGGCTGTGTGTTTTAATCCTAATTTTTTTTTGTCGAATATAAATCATTCAAACTTACGTGCATATCTTAATTTCAAGTAGTACCTTCAAATTTTACAAATTGTATATATTTGTTTCTATTACAGCAATGAAACCACATGAAATTCAGGAGAAACTAGGCTTAACTAGAATAAGGGATCGGAATTGGTATGTTCAACCATCGTGTGCAACCACAGGAGATGGGCTTTATGAAGGTTTAACATGGCTTACTTCCAATCATAAATTATGAAATATCTTAAACATTAATTAGATAATTCTATATAAGATACACATGCTTACCATGCTTTTTAGCAAACGAACAACAACAGTAGCAATAAGAAAATTTTGTAAATTATATTTAATAACTAATTAGAAGGAAGTTTGTTTGATTATATATACGTTAAAAATATAAGTTACATAATACATATAATTTGTAAATATATGTTTAAATAAATTTAAATATGAGAAAACATAACAACTTAAAATTTACAGGCTGTGAAGAGCTTTTTAGTTAAGAAAATAAAATCGAACCAACGGAAGTCATATACTATTCATTCAATCCTCCTATCTGTCCGCTGAAGTTGGGAAGAGCATAATTTTGATTCTGACAGTGATTTACTTCTCTAATTTAATTTAAATTTGGTGATTTTGAAGGCTGCTGTACTATGCGAAATTGGAAATTTCATTCTTCAAATAACTTTGTAAGTGGCTATTTATTTATTTTACATTTGTAAATTTAAGGTATTGCGAACATTCATGATTGCTTTCGATGTATGGCAAGGAGCACCAACTTGAAGATATATTTCTCTCTGGAATATTCCAAGAAGTCAATATAAGGAGTTAAGCATATCGCAGTACGTTTGTATATTGGGTAGAGCGTATTTTGTTTGACAAGTATGTTATACGTTATCACAAAGGTTTTAAGAAATGTTACTAAGAACAGACAAATTAAAAGAATGGTGTGGGTCATCAATTGAAGTAAGCGCTGCATATTTTGTTGTTTGTTTACCATCAGCACTACCTAGCGCAGCCTGACTTTTCAAGCTATCAATCTACATTTGATGCTGTGGCCTTAGGTACTACGATCATTTTAGAAAAGAAACGTGCCAGAACTAATTTTGGACTCTGGCTCACAGATCTACTTCGCCACAAGTCGTTTCACAAACCAAATTCAACTTAATAAATAAAGAAAAAGAAAGTGTAAAGATGTCAGTTTCCCAAAGTATGTATGTATACTCAGTCAAGTTCGTTCTGGTGGAGGGCAACAAGCAAGCCCCTCAACTATCAACATTTACTTTAAGATAAATACCATTAAGTGAAATTTGTCACATCACACAGTTAGGCAGTTTAACCGATTTTGGAAAATTTAACATTTTATGAGCAAATCACAAAATCTACCAAAAAATCACAAATGTGAGGAACTTTTATTATCAACTCAAAAGTTTAAGATTTTTTCAAAGTGGGCAAGCCCAATTGGGGTCAAAGTTCATAGCGTTCTATATTGTTCTATTGGTTGATCTAGAGCACACATAATTTCCGCGCTGTGTTTTTCAGACGACATTAAGAATATGGCGCTAGTATTCAATCAATCAATTTTCTCATAAATTTTGAGGTTATATGAAAAAGGTGTTAACACAAAAGTTGTAGATCTATTCATTACTTTTCAGTTGTATTTTAGCCGGAAATCGATATGAACCATTTTTAACCCTTGAAAAATTAACGACGACCCTCACTTTCCGACCTCAGATCGTCAGTAAGTTATTTTGCCTTCTTTTTCTATGAATTTTTTTACCAATTTTCGAAGGGGAGTGCCACAAAATCCCCCAAAAAAAAAATCCGCAAACACAAAATCCCCAGCTGAAAAAAAATCCCCAAATACATAATCCCCAAAATTAAAATCCCCACCTTTTTTTTTTTAGGCAGTGTCACAAAATCCCCATTTTTTTTTATTAAATATTATTACAGATCATATAAAAAATAGTAAAACCGCACTTTAGTTGAGTTTTAATTCGTAATTACATATATATGTACCCATATATGACAATGTATAGATATAGACGAGAACGCATGACGGATTTAGAGGACAAAAATAATTATTTCATCAATTTAGCGACTAAAAAGTTAAAAAAAAAAAAAACCACTGAGCTATTGCTGCATGTAACAAAGGTTGGCAAAATTAACAATATATGCAAGGGACAAGAAAACTTCAGCAGCATTGTTATCGAGTAGAAAACAAAATAATATAGAAAATCAGAGCATAATATAACATTGTCATCCATTAATCAGTATACAATATGTATGACTTAAAATACAAATAGTACCGTTACCTTTTCTACAATTATTTTACCATATGCATTTTTTCATATTATTTATCACATTACGTGTAATTGATTGTGATTAAAATTATATAGTTATATTTTGATTAAATGTCAAATAATATTTAAATTTAAAGAAAATGGAAGTCGTCGTTACTGTGTCAAACAAAGGAAAAAATAAAATATTTTTGGATGGTTTTGATTACCATTTTCATTCCAAAAATGAAAAGAAGAAAGAGTTCCGCTGGTCGTGTGCGCAAAGAAAATCCATATTGTGTAAAAGTGTTGTTGTGACAAAAGAAAATAGTGGCGATCATGTAATACAACGCGCTTCTACTGCTCATAATCATGATCCAAAGGACCATCAATTATCTGTGGCACAGGCGAACAACAAAGTAAAGGATTTGAGTACATCATCTTCACTGTCGCCTTCCCAAATTATTAGGGAAGCAGTTGTAGATTGCCAACCAGACCGCCGGGTGTACTTACCATC